ATTATACAGACAGTATCCATTATAATATAAATATTGATATACTTCAGAGTTTAAATTTTAGGATCAGATTATCAAAACAAAATACAAACGAGTCAACGCGACTAGTAACTGTCCTTGTAATTCTCTTGTGTTCTTGTAACCTAACCAATATTTGTGTTATAATATATTTTAATTTATTACTGGATAACATTTTAAGATATTTTATTTTAAAAATCTTTATCTAGATATTATTTTAGTGAGCTATTCCCAACACTGGAATCATTTCGCTTAAACATTTGATATTAATTTTTTACGATGGATATTCAACAGTTAGTTAATAATTTCTCCTCAAACGATTTTTTATATTTTGTTGTAATTCAAAAATCAACTATAAATAGATACTTCAATTTTTCACCAAATGATTATGATAAAATATTACAACTGTCTAAAGGTACCTACATGATGAAATGTTCAAAATATTTCTACTTTTTTTGACCTATTTAGAGACGGGTCTAAAAGCTTAAACAATTAATACAAGCCACAAGGTTCCTCATAAGTTGTTATAATAGCAATTTTTAAATAATGAAGATACATTATGTACGATTATTTTTTTTTTGTAAGCATTTTAAGTACAGATTTTTACAAAATTAGTCAATATACCGCGAACGTTATTTTGGTTAAAAATTTATAAAATGTTCAATTTTCATAGCTAAAGATCGGAAATTTAAAACGAGATTTCTCATGAGTGGGTTATACTGTTACCAAAAATCTAAAAAATATATAAGCACAGTTTTTTTTATAGAAATTTTAAGTTGAAACTTGGACGAAATTAGACGTTTTATAATGCAATATTTTACTATTAGTAAAATGAGTTACTTAAATAGCTGTAAATTGTAATATAAATATAACTTTATAATATCATCTAGATAGCTACCTATATTTACCAATATTATACTATTATATGTATAGGAATATATAAGAATCAGGTGAAAATTACATTGGAATTGAAACTAAAGCAATTATTTATATTTTTATTTAATGTAGGTATTACTATAGTACATTATACTCAAAAAATATTATGCAAACCATTAACCAAATAATATACATAATATACCCATGTATAAGAAAAAAAATGTAATAGTTCTATTTATTACTGAATGATATGATGTACCTACCTAGCTAAAAGCTTAAATAACTAAATCAGTGACTGTGAATATTGTTTTTAGATGATAAAAACTTGATTTTCATTTTGAGGAGGCTTTTACTGGAGATAATCTTAACTGTAATATGTTAAAATATTAAATAATGTTATATTGTAGACATAATGCGGTAAATATTATAACTTGTGAAAATATTTTTTAGATTAAAAATTGGTGGGGCGGAGGTTGCTCCCACGACTTAGTTCTAATAGCCAATATCCAATGGGGGAGGTGGCTATATAAGTAATTGTTCATTGCCACACCTAAAAAATAATAGTTCGGCGCCACTGGTCTCCAAGGAAAAAAGGATAAAATTGTCCCCGGATCAGTATGTCCCGATACCGCGCTCAGAATCACTTTTTTCGTGCAATGGTTTAGGATTGAGTTTAAATTTAACACATGCCTTACATTGACATATTTTCCTAATGTACATCTGTATGGCAATACAGAAAAGTGGTTACCTATACCTACTTTCACTCTTTAAAAAAAAATTAAATTATTGTATTTTATTTTCTATGATAGGCAGGTACTAGATATTATTTACCTAGGTATGTTCAAAAGGTCTTACCTACTAAAACAACACCTCGGAAGTTTTTCCAATGGGAGGATCCTTCATTTTATCCATGTATTTTTTTTTTATAAGCATCCAGTCATCATTCCATTCGCTTATTGTTCAATATAGGTATATTATAAACAGATTGTAAAATAAATGTTCAATTAAAACAAAAGGGGGAAGTAACTGGTAACCGCAATAGTTATTAACGGAGTTATCCGTTTCCGCCAAAAAAAGTTTGGAAACCAATGCCTTTAATTTTTAACCAATATATGTTGTGGTAATGTGGTATACTGGGATGTATAAAATAAAGTAATATAAGATTTACCTAATGATATTAATTGTAAATAATTGCGAAGACCATAGGTACCTACAGCAATATAATATCATAGAGTAATAGTACATTACATTTAGTATATTAGTACTCTAACTATATTATTATTTATTACTCTAACTCTATGCAATATTATATACAGCGATAATTATTGTCGATAATCGTCGATGACGGAAGCATAAACTGTATAATAGTTTATTTATAATTCGCACACAATGATTAGTATCGGCAGTATCGCGATATCGATAATTTTAGTTTGACGTGGTGCAGTGTATATTAAAACGAACGTCATTATTCCCAATATAAAATGTAATCTCAAGTGATTTTTTTTTTTAGTAGATAGGTTCTATGTAGAACACGATTTAAGATATCTTAAATCGTGATGTAGAATAATAAATATTTGAGTTATGATGAAATAATTTGCTGATCTAAAAATAAAAATGATTTTGAATAATTCTTTGGGAGTGGGGTAAACATCTGAAAATCTAAATATTATTATAATATTTTTTATTAAAGTCTGGGCAGGCAAATGAAACTTAATTTGATGTATATTATTACAAAGTCAAACTAATTCTGTCTTGGATTAAATATTTAAATAGGTGTAGGTAGTGAAACAAAAAAAAAATGTTCAATACACAACTTATATTTTCACGCGGGTCTCATGACCCCAAAATTCTCTTTTGCGAGTTGCGACGAACACACAACGTCGGTATTTGGCTTAACGTGGTTCTATATTATTGTAGCGAGATAAGTAACTACCTATTATAATATTGTAATATCACTATCAATCACCCAGGGTTAATTCGTATGAGCAAATTACCACACGCCTAAAATTATACATGTTTACTTTGTTAAAATTAAAAAAAATATAGGTACTATAATAAAATAATAATTATAACATTAATTAATATTTTATAGTAATTTATAATGCACACTCTACAAACACACACACACACACACACACACACACACACACACACATTACCGAGAACAATAATTATTATTATAGTACCTATATCCATGAGAGTCCGACCTCTTCCCGTGCGGTTATCGGGCT